TCCCTGCTCACGTGCTTTCTCTCTCTCAAAAATAATAAATAAAAAAAATTTAAAAGAAAAAAAAGAAAGGTATTGGGCCAGGGTGCCTGGGTAGCTCAGTTGGTTGAGTGTCTGACTTGACTTTGGTGCAGGTCATGCTCTTGTGGTCATGGGATTGAGCCCTGTGTAGGGCTCTGTGCTAAGCGTGGAATCTGCTTGGGATTCTCTCTCCTTCCTCCTCTGTCCCTCCTCTGCTTGTGCACGCACACACACACTCTCTCTTTCTCTCTCTCTCTCTCAAAAAATACTACAGCTCTTAAAAAAAAAAGAAAGAAATTGGGCAGAGAGAACCAAATTTAATGCTTGCTTTCAATGCGTAAATATTTCTTTCCTTGTGAGACTATCAACAAACACTGAAACTTTACTCTGTGCCTAGATTAGTGCCTTACTGAGGAAGAACTTAATGAATGTTGGCAATTATTATTTTACTGGAATCTTATCCACAATCTTACATAATTTAATTGAACCTGGCAGGTTAATCCAAACTTCAAAACTGTAAGATTTTGTAGCACAAGTTTAAACAGGTTGTGTATTCTCAGTCTGATTAAGCAGTCCTTCTATGGTAATTAGCCTTGTTGCTTCTTTCAATGGGACACCAACTTGCATTCAGTTCTATCAATTGCTCGAGTGCCTATTTATGTTGGGTCTTGAGTTAACCACGGTGACTAGCTCAGTTCTTCACCATTTTAAATTAGTGAATGTTTCATGTGAATCCGGGAGATAAGCTTATTATACCAGTTTTTCTTGATTTCTACCGAATCTCTGCTCGGCTTTGTTTTGAAAATGCTGGCGATTCATCCCGAGTAAATACTGACATTCGGGGCTTGCATCTCTGTCTGTGAGGTACACCTGGACCAGTGGGTCCTTCACTTCCTTCCTGGGGGAGGGCAGGGCCCTCTACAGTCAATGGCACCTCCATATACCATCAGCATTGGGTACAAAAGCACAGAATGGCTGAATGACAAATTAGACCTTATGCGTCGGGGTCAAGTGTTGAGAGAGAACCCTATGATTTCTAAAAGTGGAGAATTAATTACAAATTGATCCAAATTACCGGTCAAAAAGCCGTGGCGAGCCTTCCCTTCTTAACGGATTTCTGTACCTTTGTCTAAAAAATGCAGGTGTCAAAATTTGTGTTGCCGATCAATTTGCTCTTTAAATAATAATTCCAGTGACATTTGTGTTATTGCTTAGCAGGGCAAAAGAGTGTTCTGCCCCCACTCCGAAGGAGTGAAGATCAAATAATCAAACATCTAGTGTCAGAACCATCCCACTATGTGTCAGGCTGGGTGTTTGCAGACATCACTTGACTTTTTATATCTTAACTCTGTGCAGTCTGATTATGATGTCAATTTTGTACATCAGTTCAGAGAAGGTGAGGTAAGGTGCCCGAAGTCCCTTGGGCAGCAAGTGACACAGCCAGCTTCTAGACACAGCTCTTTGTCTACCGCATTTCTAAAAATTAAATTATGACCCCCTTCACTTAGGACATAGCTTTGTAGATCTCTCCATTAATGTGTGACTTTCTAATGGCATTTCATTCTGACCTCAGATTGCCCTAAATAATCCATTTCCTTGGGCAGAATTGGCTGACACCTGCACATTCCTGGAAAGAACTGCCTGTGTATTCTAGAAAAGCTACAGCTAATGAGGATGAATTTGTGTGTGCCCCCAATAAAGCAAGAAGGGCGACAGAGACAGTGAAAATAATGTGTGAGCATAGATGGATGGGACCAGTTGGGGGGGAAGAAGGGCTGGGTTTGCGGAGGGGAGGGCAGAGAGTAAGGTGAGAGGTACCATATGCTGCGGGTGTCAGAGAAGCTTTGGTAGGGGACAGAAAAGGCTGAAGGAAGAGTCCATCCAGGCCTCTGAGCCTGGGGCTTCCACAGGACGGATGTGGATGGAACCGCAGTGTGTTTGATGTTGCATGTTCTATGTGGGTAACACCTCCCCCCTGCACCCTGCCCGGCTTCCTGGGAGCAGAGTCCTGGCAAGAAGACAAAACAGTTTGGCGAGCCCAAACCTGCACGGAATGTAGGTGCACCGGTGCCTTATCCTGCCCCTACCTCTGGTACAATTCTTCGCTCTCATCTGGAGAGTCCCACATGGGTATCATTGGACATCCATTTTGCTCTTTTCTTTCTCCAGGTGGAGACTTGCTTTTCTTACTGTTGCTGTAACATTTATCCCAACTTCAGACAGGCTCAGAGCTGTTCTTCAGACAGGCTCAGATATGGCCCCTCAGGTTTCCCTTAAAATAATACAAAGGGGCGCCTGGGTGGCTCAATCGGTTAAGCTTCTGGCTTTTTGATCTTGGCTCAGGTCATGATCTCATGGTTTGCCAAGTTCGAGCCCCTGCCTCGGGCTCTACGCTGGCAGTGCGGACCCCGCTTGGGATTCTATCTCCCTCTCTCCCTGACCCTCCCACACGCGCTCTCTCTCTCTCAAAATAAATAAATAAACTTTTAAAAACTTAGGAAAAAACCACTTGCCAAAGAGTTTTGGTAGGTTGGGGAAAGAGTCACACAACCAAGTCCAGATGGTGTGGAACAGCAAGAATTAATGGTCTGAACTGAAGTGAGCCATGATTTAAAATTTTACTAAATCATTATCAGTTCTTCTAAGAAGTCAAAACGATTAATATGAAGATCTCAAATTAAGGATTTATTCTGAAGTGATTCTAAAGCTGGCGCAGAATAATATGACTTAGGCCATTACATAATTTTCAAGTGGAAGGATGGAAATAATCAGAGCCTACACTCATAGCCCAAAGCATCACTAAAATTATTCTGATGGGACACAAAACAGGTACGACCTGTTTTACAGCTCTGGGATAAAGGCATTTTTGTTTAAATAATACTTGGCCGAAAAATTTTAAAAAGAAGAAAAACTATAGGGGAGAGGAACAAAGGATACAACGAACAAAGGCGACACAGGGAGTCAATGGTCTGAATTGAGCTGGAATATTCTGGCAGGGCAGCAAAAGGTTTGTCCACAGCAAAGTCAAGGCCAGGCTGATAGAGGAACACTGGTCTGCAGGACCCAGCCCTCCCAACACTGGCTTCTGCCCGGGATGCTGTCACTCTGTGGGGCCCTATGTGTCCCCTGGAGTCCCATCCACACCTGCCCCATCTCTTACCATCCTCTTTGGTCCGAGTGAAGATCTGCTCACTTCTGACGCCGTCCCCCGCACGGGTGAAGGCCAGCACCTGGATGCTGTAGTTGGTATATTTCTCCAGCCCGTCCAGCTCTAGGGAAGGCTGCGTCGTGGTGACGTTTTTAATCTCGCCCAGCTCTGGAGGACAACAGAACAGGATCCGGTGACTGGCTGTGGGCGTGCCGTGCTCACTGGCCAGCCTGGGGCTCGCCCTCTAGCTGCCACATCCTGAGATGGCTCAGAGGGACCGTGCACAGCCTGCACACGGCACCGACACTCATTCATGTGCAACTGCCACGGAACACGGCAGAACATCAGTCTGGGAAATGGAGCAGGTCACTCCAAGTGTTACCACCCAACCCGACGGCCGGGGCCAGCAGCCAATCAAGCGTGCCCCCCACACTCAACCTGGGGAGCTTGGGGCTGTACAGGGCTCACTCTGCTAAGTTTATTCACTTATTTTGAGAGAGACAGACACAGCACGAGTTGGGGAGGGGCAGAGAAAGAGGGACAGAGAGAGAGATTCCCAAGCAGGCTTTGTGCTGCCAGCGCAGAGCCTGATGTGGGTCTCGAACCCATGAAACCGCAAGATCATGACCTGAGCGGAAACCAAGAGTTGGATGCTAAACGGACCCAGCCACCCAGGCGCCCCCTGCAGGTGCATTTCTAACTGCTCATCAAAAAACTTCTGCAAGTCAGGGGCACCTGGGTGCTCAATCTGTTAAGCATCTGACTCTTGGTTTAGGCTCAGGTCCTGATCTCACGGTTTCTGAGATTGAATCCCCACATCAGGCTCCGTGCTGACAGTGTAGGCCCTGCTTGAGAATTCTCTCTCTCCCTCTCTCTCTCAAAATAAGTAAAGTTAAAAAATACATTAAAAAAAAACTTCTGCAAGTCGAGTTTTGTCTTTTATTTAACAAACAAACAAATCGTACTTTAACGTACATGCATTTTTAAGTACCTAACTTCTCAGGTGTCTGAGCTGAGATGAGGTGGCTCAGGAAACGGCTCCTCTTCCCTGGAGTGAACCCCCGCCGCTGCCCCCCACCCCCCGAGCTTCTTTGCCAAAGTGACACGTTGATGTGTCAGAAACTTGGCGTCAGCTAAAAATGCTTCATTTTCTGGGGTGGGATCAGCTAATAATACTCAGAGAGAGAACGTTTTGCTCTCCCTTCTTAGGCGTATCAGACAGGGCAATTTGAGAAAACTTACAATGATGTGTTAAGTACCTCCACGGGTGTTCTAGGTTCTGAAATGAGCCACCTACGGAGCAGCTGGTGCAGGAGAGAGAGGCTTGAGGACCACTCACCCCCGGGCACAGCCAGCTGTGGAGGATGGGCACTGCCTGCGAGCCTGGGCCCCCCAGTTACTAAGAGGACTGGCAGAGCACAGGTCCAGGAGGGACTGTTCGTTGGGTGGCTGGCCGTAGCCAAGGCCACCTGTGCACCTGTGCTTACAGTCGACAAGCAGTAGGACCCACTTACGGGCCAGCGCTGTTGTGGCTTCAGATGCTAACTCATTTAGCCAGCACACCAATCCTGTTATTGGCCTGCATGTTACAGGCGAGGAAACCACAGCAGGGAGGTACCTTGCCTAAGGTCACGGAGCCTAGCAGAGCGGCCGAGAGCATGGGCCGCGGGGTCACGGTGCACGGCCTCAGGTCCACAGACCACGGTTTCCGTGCTCTGCGGTGGTCACTCAGTGAAAAACATCATGTCGGTCAGATTATTGAGCTCTCCACCAGCGTGGCTTTCTCTTCCCGCCCTCCTGTCCTTCTCACCTCACTCTCGAGGTCGCACAGAAGGCCACCTAGTAATTAACAGCCACGTATTCTGTGATTATGAAGACCACAGAGTGTCTTCTTGTCTCTTTGGTGTTTGTCACTCAAAGGATCAAGGTTGAGCTGGACATAGGAGAAAAGCTGAATCTAAAACAGTCATGGGGTGGCCAAGGCTTGTCACGCACGTGCTGGGGCCTTTGCATGGGGGGAGGGCTGTGGGGGATGTGAGGGATGTTGGGTCACAGACCCAGCTGCAGACCTGGACACGAGCCAGAGGCCCGTCACCGCCTTGAGCAGACTGTGGGCCAGCTCTCCGGCAGGACGCTTTCCTGGGGGGAGAAAGTGGGCAAGGAGGGGGGTCCCCAGGAGGGGTCTTTGGCCGGGTGTCTTCTGGGGAGGTCAGCAGTGTATGCAGACTTCTTGGGGCCACCATTTGGAAGCCTCAAGAGATGGCTTACAAAGGTAAAAAGATACTTGCTCGTGTGTGGGGTCGCCGCACATTCAGAGAGTGGACAACTGTCAGGCCAGAAGGGTGAGGAAGTCTCCCCCCGAAGGAAGGTTCTGCCTGGCGACCACCATGGCTCTTCATACTGTCCTATGCACTTGCAACGTTCATTTTCCTAAACATATCTAATAGGGGTCAGTAGGATGAGGATAAACACTTCAAATGCTAATGGGAAAAACATTAAGTATAGATGTCATCAAGATCTTTTCAGATTTAGGAATTTCTATGCTGTGCCAAAGATCTCTCTCTCTCTCTCTCTCTCTCTCTCTCTCTCTCTCTCTCTCACACACACACACACACACACACACACACACACACACCAGGAAAATGGGGTTTCACAGGGCTGCGTGCCAGCAGCCAGTTATGAGACCTTGTCTAAATTATTTAACCTCTGGGGTCTCTGGGTTTTTGCTTTTGTTTTTTGCAATTGTTATCTTTAAGAAGGACCCGGGAGTCTCTCCCTGGTGGAGAAAGCAGGCTGCAGTCATTTGCTGCGAGAGACAGAGGTGCTGATTCATCAGTGCGGCTCCTGGATGAGAGACAGTGATGGGGAAGAGGGCGGCTAAGAGGGACAAGGTGGAGGGGGTTGCCCCCATCTTTTTCAAGCAATAGTTAGAAGAATTCCATCGCTCAAGAAGCAGGAGACAGATCAGAATGAACACTTGGATGTCTACTTGTATTGGGGTTCATACTGCTTTGAGGAACTGATTTATTCATGAACCAGGAATGTGACTGCGGTCAGAACCCCAGTTCAAGATCACCCCCCAGAACTTCCTAATATGTGCCACACGTGCACCTCACTCTCGATGACTGAAGGGGAAGGGCATGGTCCTGATTGGCAGACACTTGATCTTTAGTGGATCTGCAGAAACTAAAGAGGACAATTATGACAAAAAGCCCAATCAAAACGGCATGCTTCATTTGCCATTCTTTTGAGCCCTTGTACTTTTTTTTTATGGCTTAAGGAGGATTTCTATCATCTACCTTTTACAGCCTCAGTAAGGTTATTAAAAAACAAACAGGAACTGAAGCATAACGCTCAGGTGAAATCATGACTAAAATAACATGAAATAAATACATGAAATGAATTTAGAGGTATCATTTCTACTCTAACATTTTTTTCACTTTCTGTTGGAAAACAAACTGTTTTATGTATCGACACCCTCCCTCGTTCTCAAAGGGTTTTAAGACAAAAAACGGGGGTGGGAATAACGTTTCTGAAGTGCCGTGAACTGGCCCACCATCGACGCTAACAGCCGGATGGCACCTAAATGCCACCTCGCTTCAGAATCCACTGTGCTGTCTTGGGGAAAGACGGAAGAGACGACAAGCGGTTTGGATTCAGACGGAAACGGGACTTCGGCGTGCACAAGTTTTCTAGCAATCTCAGATGAACGGCTTTGTGAGGTCTTGCAAAGTACTGAGCTTTCAGATGATAAGACACTCGGAAATTTCACCAACGTGGTGTGTGGCTCGCCTGTCCTATCAGATATATTAACCAGCTTTATCTGATCACGTTAACAATAACAAATGCTTTTCTGATGTACATATTTGAAAGTATTCGGGGCAATTGCTAATCACAGTGGTAGTGACAACCTGGGTCTCCCAGTCTGCGAGTGTATGTGCCTATGAGTGTGTAGATGTGTGTGAGGCTGCATGTAAGTCTGTGTGCGTGAGTGTGTGGGGGTGCGTGCGAATGTGGCTGTGGGGGTGTGGGTGAGTGGGTCCAGTCCTTTACACAGTCACGATGTCTCACATCCGTGGGAGCCTCGGGCCGCAGCCTGAGAAGTTTTTGCAGAAGTATCAGTGATCCCGTGGAATCACCTGCTAATTCATAAATGTCACTTCTTATAAGCAGCAGGTAAGGAGTGAGTGTTCGTAGCAGGTTTACGTCTCTAAGGGTTTCTTTCTCATCTTTCGGAGATTAAGTGTAGAACTCCTACATTAGGCATTAAGCACATCGCTTTGATCTGAATACCGTGAGCCAACGTATCTTTAGGAACCGTATGCATTTCTAAGCAGTCTTTACTTAAAGCCTTTCATGTTTTTGAATATTCAAGTATTTAACGCTTAGAAGCGTCAAGTCAAAAGAACCGTCTTCACCACATTACCCTTCGTAGAGCTAAGGTGTTAATAGGCAATATTAGCGAATAGGAGCGATGTGTGAAAATACGGATGAGTCGTCACCACCAGGTTCTGGAAAATATTTCCAACAGGAAGAACAACAAAATCATTTCGGTGTCACGTTGCCTTTAGGGGAGTGCACTCAGGGCTTCTGGCTTCACGTCATTCAAGAGGAGGACGAGAAACCAGAACAAGAATATACGATGATATAGTATGACACTGTCAACAAAATAGATACTTTTTACAAATATTTTTGCTCTACACTTTACCTCTATGGGATTTTAAAAGAGCTCTTTGGGGGACAAGAGGGGGAAGTTGTCAAAGAATCATTTACGTAGTTCTGTCCCTCTGTGGAGGATGGCTGTGCATTACCGGGCTTGTGGTTCTATGTTCACTAGATTCTTCTGGGCTCACTGGTCTAGCACTAGGCCAGCACAGAGTAGATACTCAGTGTGCCTGCCTCGGATGGAGCAGGTGAATCCTTACTGAGCCCTGAGAAGCAGGTCTGATGAAGACATAAATAACTAAGGCTCCCCAAACTGCTATTTACTTAGCTTATTTATTAACGTGTCTTCCTTCCTGCACTGTGGCATCAGTATTAGAGCCCCCTGCGGCCTCTGAGGCCCTGTGTGCTCTGTTTACCTGGGTGGGGACAGCCACCTGCTTGGCAGAGCAGACTCGAGATATATCTGGGGGCTCTGGCTGTGTTTGCCCAAACTCAGAGGCAAGCACGCACCAGGAGGCCACATGCAGTCAGAGGGGTTCAAAGAAGCCCCACACAAGGGGAGAGGCACCCCCCTGCCCTGGGACGGGAGGTGCAGGAGGAGGCTGAGACTGGACTGAAGGGGAGGGTGGGAGCGTGGGCCACACGGTCTTGGGATGCAGGCCTTAGTAGCTTCCCCGTGAGGGCTGTGGTACGGGTGTGTGTCTATCCCGCTCACGGAGAGGCGCTCAGTCTGGTTCAGCAACACCCACCCTCTGAAAGCAGGCACACCGAGAGGTACTCTCCCCAAGAAAGTTCTGGGCCCAACCTCGCCTCTATCTGAGCAGGCTCTCATTCAGAGTCTTGCCCAAACCAACAGAAGGATTTTGTCCTGTAACTTGGAAGAAAAATAAAAACAAACACAGAGAAACAAGAAGAACGACAGAAGAGAAATGGGAGGTGGGGAAGGGGAAGGGGAAAAAGACAGAAGGAGGTTTGGGATTAAATGGCTCCTCGTGAGGAATATTCTGGCATTCCTCCCGAGCCCTCTCCTGGGTCAGCTACAGGCACTTAAGAAGTTTCCCTGCTGAGTTCTATTGGGAATTTGGAAGAGGTCAGCCTTTTAGGATACACGTCACGTAGAACTTTCTAGATACAAATCAACATCTTGGTGCTGCATGTGGAGGCGGGGGCTTGGCATAGATACACATCTAGGAAAATGCATCCGTGCCTAGAGTTCCCAAATGCCACCCACTCCGTTAACCTCACATCACTTTTTGAGGATACATGATGTTTTAAACAGCTGTGCACACCTGTGACAGCATAAGAGGAGAGGCAAGAACAGGACGACGGGGGGAAAGCAGACTGTGTCCACTGATAAAGATGTGCCCTCCGTAGCCTGTATCCCACATTAGGAGGAGGGCCTGCTAATCCCAGTACACATCCTTTGGGGGCAAACTCAACAGCTCTTTTAGCCCTCTTACCTCCGTCCATCAGGTTGGCCCAGTAAATGACTCTGAACCCCTGGAGAATTCCATTCAAGGCTTCCTTGGAAAGTGTGGACCAGGATATTGATATGCTTTCTGGTGATGTTGCTATGGCTTGGACATTTTCAGGGGGGTAACTGGGCACTGAAATTAAACAATTAGAATCTGTAACAACCGTGGGAGGTTTAACTGGCAAAGCAATACCGAATAAGCAACATTAGTTTAACATTGCAACGTGCAAGGAAAAGAAAAAAATCGCACTCAATCCACAAAATTAAGGAAAAAAAAACCCTGAGTACCACTACCCTATGCAAATATTATAACTCCGTAAAATGTAAAATAATATGAGTTTATGTAAAATAATATGAGTCTATGTCCTAACATACTTCCATAGTCTCCCTTTCTGAGTTAATTGCTTCACTTTGAAGGAGGCTGGACTGGGACTGGGGAATGGGGAACGCTTCTGATATTACTGCATGAGTAAAACACCATAGCTTGTCCGATTTATTTCCCCATCACTCTTGTAAGTGACCCTCTGTATTTAGATGCATCTGGCATGTAAATTGGAAGCCTAGCTATTGGCAAGTGCTACAGTGCAGACATGTAGTCATAGAGCTTATTCACTGTCCCCCTCCTCCCAGGCCAGCCTCCCCTTTCAAAAATATAATATTTTGTCAGAGGATAGAGGGAGAATGGATTAAGACAGAGGCTGGAAGGATGTCTGAGGTCTTGTTTTCTTCACATTGAGTTTATGCAAAGCTTAAATGGCCTGGCTGGGAGAAGGGACAAAGTATCAACAGAAACACACACATCGATGCACCATGAGCACTGAAGTGAAAACCAAAAGGCATACGTAACCATGATTGCAAAAGACCATGGAGTCGGAAAGAAAAATCCCAGTTTTAGGGTTCCTGGTTTTGTAAGACTTCTCTCCCTGTAAAAATGGTCGGAAGTCATGGATGCAAGTCCCCAGCGTGCGAAGTTGTCGCCTTAAAAATCTACACTTAGTGTGACAATGAACCCCATGCCTTATCTCTGCCCCTAACCTTGGGCCTCTGGACACCGTTCTCTATTGCTTTTCAAGCACGACTGGAAGGCATGGGAGAAGGGTGAAGTAACTCCTCATGGTCACCAGGGGGTGCTCGGTCACCGTGAGATTTGCTCCAGGACCCTGCTCATTCCTTTCTCTGGTGCAGAGTGGTTGAAAATAGAAAGCAATCCAAAATAATAATAATAATAATAATAATAATAATGATAATAATAATAATAATATAATAAGAAGAAGAAAAATAAGAAAAGAAATAAAGAAAAATCCCCTTTAACATTGATTTGGAAGAAATTCTTAGAAAATCAGATTTCTACATCCTAGTCGGTCCTAGGGAGAGCCTTGGATGCACTCGGGAAAAGCCCAATTCTCCTGCTTGGAATGATTGAGATGCTGGAGAGGAACAGATTTGGGCTCTGCAGTCAAGGGTGAGACCCAGTCCCTGCAGCCGGTGAGTGAATTAAGGCAAGTTTCCCTGGAACCCCCAGTCCCCGGCCCGGGCCTGGCACCTTTGTCACGGCAGAGCCAGCAGGAGCCAGGCTGTCGGGGGCCAGAGTGGCCACCAGACCAGAGCAGACGCTTGAGGAAGGAAAGGCCCGAGCGGCCGCCTCCAGAACCTACCATCCTCGAGGGTGGTGGTGATGATTTCCTGAGAAGAAGGTCCCGTCCCGGCCCGGTTGCAGGCCTGCACTACCAGGCCGTACTGGGTGAACTTATTGAGGTTGTCCAGGGTGTAAATCTCACTGTCCCCAGTGGTGTCGATACTGATAATGTTGAATTGGAAGTTGCCCCCGGTGCTGTACTCGCGGTAACCTATCTGGTAGCCACGGATAATCCCATTTTGCAAATGTTTCTTGGGAGCCTGAAGAGGAGAAGAAAAGAACGCACTAAGGAAAACTTGAGAAGGACAGGAGGGAAGCCCGCACCCACCCACCTCTTAGGGAAGCGGAATACAGTCGGACGGCCATGGTGATGAAGGTAGGAGGTGTCCTAACAGGAGTCGAGACAGGGATGTTTGCAGTGAGCTCATGCGCAGCCGCCCTTGGCCGCGTACTCCTCCTCGGGGGTCGGAAACACCACGTACGCATGTGGTGCCCCAGGTCCACCAGCCGCCACACAGGGACACCAATCTTCACACCTTCACCCAGCAAAATCTACTGAGTAAGAGCTGCTCTGACAGGGAGCAGAAATGATTTTTTGTTTTATTTTATTAAAAATTTTTTTTTTTAAATTTTTATTTATTTTTGAGAGAGAGAGAGAGAGAGAGACAGAGTGTGAGCAGAGGAGGGGTGGAGAGAGAGGGAGACACAGAATCCGAAGCAGGCTCCAGGCTCTGAGCTGTCAGCACGGAGCCCGATGGGGGGCTCCAACACACAAACCGTGAGATCGTGACCTGAGCCAGAGTCGAACCCCTAACTGACTGAGCCCCCTAGGTGCCCCCAGAAATGAGTTTTTAAAACAAGGTCCCTGCCCTCGTGGAGCTTCCACTTTAATGGAATGTTCCAGAATAAAGGTGTTTCCAATTGAGAGCTGCATGTGAAGGGGGTCCACCAATGACAAGAAGGCAGACTTCTTTCCTTAAGGCACAAATCGTTTTGGAATCATTTCATGGGGATGCAACCTGGGCAGGGGTGAGGCTATAGTTGGCTAGTCTCTGCTAATGACAGAGGGTCTGCTGAGTCGAAGACAGAACATGTTAGCCAACATCTTGGATTTTTAAAAGAAGCCAAACTCTTTACAATTATAAGAGCAACACAACGGTGATTTTGCAGGGAGGTTTTGCAGACTTTCAGGCAGTCAAGAGATACTTGTGTGCAAGTGTACATATATGAGTATTTGTATTATGTCTGTGTGTGCATCATGTGTGAGCACAAGTGTGTATGTGAGTGTATGTGCAAGCGTGTATGTGTATTTGTGCTATGTCTGTGTGTGAGTACATGTGTGTATGCATACGAGTGTGTGCAAGTGTGTATGTGTGCATATTTGTGTTTTGTCTGGTGTGCGTGTGAGTATCTGTGTGTCTGTATTTCACTACAAACCGTGGGCTTAGAGCCCTCAGGAGCATGAGGACTTTCTCTGTCCCCCAAGTGCTGACAATCCAATTGGAGAGAGGGAGTAAACACTTAGGAAACCAGAGAGACTCTCAAGGGTCGAGTGTCCGGCCCTGGATGCGAAGGCCAGCAGGCGTCCAGAAAGCGGCGAACTCGGAGCGGTTGGAAGGGGCCGTTCCCCGTGGACTTGGAAGGGTGGCCAGGGCTCAGGCCTGGGAGGTGAGGACATAGTGCGAGGTGCCTGCAGAAAGCGGCTGGGAGAGGCAGGGTGGCCGCAGGAGAGCATGGGTGTCCGGCACAGGGCAGCCAGGAATGGTGGCTAGGGAGCAGATGGGGTGGGGCTGGCTGGTGAGCTAGTCCTTCATCAAGGGCAAAGCGCGAGGCAGCAGCATCCACACAGGGAGAAGGCAGAAGGAGGTTCTGGGCAGCATTAATGAATTTCAGCAAATATTGATGAATTGCCTAATAGGCACCCTCCCAGTGGGATTAGATACCGCAGGTTACGTTGGAGTGTTAGTCTGAGCTATAGAGGAGCAGTAAAATCACATCTTTTAAAGCAAGTTTCCTCATATTTGGTTTTCTTGGATTGCAGCTGTCTTCCTCAACAAGCAGTCTGATTTCAGGCAAATACGTAGATCCGATAGAGATCGACGAAACAGGCATGTAAACCAGTGCATTCATAGTCACCGTTGGATCCGGACTCGAGATCCTTTTTATAAGCACAGCTCTATGCAATCTTGTTTTTCCAGTGATGAGCTATGACTTTTCACTTTGTATGAAATTGGATCGAAAGGTTTTAGATTTTGAGAATTTGATGACATGGAAATTGTTTTACCACAACCCCTGAGTGGCATTTATATCATTTAATTAATTAATGAAATTAATTTCCCTGCAAGAGTCATCTCTAAGTCAAATTTAAAACAGGTATTTCTTTTATTTCATGTAGTTTTTAAATGTTAAATACAGCATGAGGCGTCTGGGTGGTTCAGTTGGTTAAACGTCTGACTTCGGCTCAGGTCATGATCTCACGGCTCGTGAGTTAGAGCCCCGCGTTGGGCTCTGTGCAGAGAGCTCGGAGCCTGGAGCCTGCTTCTGGTTCTGTGTCTCCCTTTCTCTCTCTGCTCCTTCCCTGCTCATGCTCTGTTTCTCTCTCTCAAAAATAAATAAACATTAAAACATTTTTAATGTTAAATACAGTGACCCAAATATAAATGATATATATTTTTTAAGATTAGGTTTAGACTCATTAAATATTCTAATTTTTCTTTTTTTTTTAATTTTTTTTATTTAAAAAAAATTTTTTTTTCAACGTTTTTTATTTATTTTTGGGACAGAGAGAGACAGAGCATGAACGGGGGAGGGGCAGAGAGAGAGGGAGACACAGAATCGGAAACAGGCTCCAGGCTCTGAGCCATCAGCCCAGAGCCCGACGCGGGGCTCCAACTCACGGACCGCGAGATCGTGACCTGGCTGAAGTCGGAGGCTGAACCGACTGCGCCACCCAGGCGCCCTTATTCTAATTTTTCAAGTGACTCACTGTGTAGGTTTAAGACCCCCTCAGACACTAGGTCAGGATCTCAATACGGTGGTTACGCATCGGATCAAGAAGCGAGAGAGGGAATAAAGGCAATTTCCAACAGAATACGTTTACATAGCGCGGCAACCAATTTAGCTAAACCTTCCAGAAGTAGAGGAACCTGCTTGCTGACTTTTAGCTCCTCGGGTTTGGGAGATTAATCATGCCTGTGATCTGGCTGCATGGGTAGGGTGGGGAAATCTTCCTTTTTTCCCTCCCATGGGTAAGAATACATTCTAACTAGCATAATTATGCTAGACATTTTTAAATCAAAGAAACATTTAACAAATCACATGAAGAGAAAGCATTGCTTGCATGCGCAAAAACAAGACAAAATTCTAACTATATCAGGCAGAGTTTATGTTTTATCATTATTTTGTATGCTGAGCAGTCAGATTTCAACTTAGGGATGTGTTTACATGAAAGAAATCCTTGGAAACACTGAAAAACTCTTACCTTTTTACAAATCCATAGAAACAGGATTTTTGTACATTCAGTATAGGAAATGTTAGGGACTGTGGTGCGCATTCCAAAGTGTTTTGAAAGTGACCCTGGAGATTCTCTCTGATTTGAATGGGCAACAGGCCAGTGGGGACAGGGGGTGTGGAACAGTGGTGGCCCCTGAATCCATTTGTCTGGCAATGAGCTTCACATCATCCCAAGGCAAGTTAGTACATAATACCCTTTACTTTCAAGTTTGTTTGCAATGATGCTTTAAACATCTGAGCCTTGGAGCATGTGTTGACCTGGGATAAAGGTAGATGTATGTAAAGAAGAAATCCTAATGTGGAAGATGGTTTCAGAACCATCAACCAGTTTGATGTTAAATAGCATCAAATTGTGATCGAAAAAAAAATGTTTTCATTTGTTTAATGAAACTAAATGAATGGAGTTAACGGTGGAAGAAAGGAAAAAGAGGAAATCAGGTAGAGATCTTGAATCTGGGTTGCAGGTTACTGAAGAAGGCAAATTTCCTAAGAAACCACTTCGATCATGCCCCTTCTCTCCAAATCTCAGCTGTACCTGTAGTTGAGATTTAACAAGGATGTTCCTGGACGTTCCCTGATGACCTAGGGTTCTCTCGGGCTGGTGAACAAGCACGGAAGTGCTAACTCTCTTGCATTTTCCCATCTCATGAGCCTCTCCCTGCTGCTCCCCCGCATCAGAGACTACTCCTCTCCCTCCTCTGTCAAAACCCAACTCATTCTCCACCGCCAGCTCATCGGTTTCCTTCGACTGCCTCCATCCACGTTCTCTCTCCTTCAGCCTCTGGTTCTCTCTCCTTCAGCCATCGGCTCAGCAAGAACTGATCACTTCCATCCCCTCCTGCGGCCACCGGTCTGTATCGAATGTTGGTTTCCAAGGACTTGAATGCAAGCTCCAAGCGCACAAGGATTCCCACAAGCATGCCTGAAATCTCACCCACTCACTCGTCTAAAACGGAACTGCAGCACAGGGGACATTCTCAGAAAATGTTACGGTAGATGCAGAAGAGAAGGGTTTTGAGCACAGATGAGGCTCAACAAAAGTGACGGGTAGGAATGATCTCAGTTGCAGGGTTATAATCTGACTGGGTCCAGGGCTAATGGGAAAGGCTTAAAGATGGACGAGATGCCCGGAATCAGGAGTCACGATACAGGCCTGATCAGAGGCCTGGATGAGCCAGTACGGAAGGAGGTCTCAGGAGCACCGTGCAACTTAGATTCAAGCTGAGAGCTGGCTTCCACGTGGTCACTTAGTGTGGCAGCTCACGCATCAGGATGAGAGATCCAGGCAGGATTTGGAAGGGTCCGGCTTCATTTTCCAGGCCTCGTTAAAGCAGCAAATAGCATTCAAAGAACCAACTTATTTGGACAAAGTGATCTTTTTATTTTCCTTCTTAAAACAGGTATTCCAGAAAGTTTGCTCACTTCCTTAGCCAGCTGATGGGCTACATGTTTTCATAATAAGGATCACTTGAGGCGCCCGGGTGGCTCAGTTGGTTAAGCGGCTGATTTCAGCTCAGGTCATGATCTCACGGTCCATGGGTTTGAGCCCCGCGTTGGGCTCTCTGCACTCAGAGCCTGGAGCTCCCTTTCTCTCTCTGCTCTTCCCCCACTTGTGTTTTGTGTTTTTTTCTCTTTCTCTTTCTCTCAAAAACAAACAAAAAAATAAATAAGAACATTAAAAAATGTACACTAAGGATCACTTAAGGCAGACCCACAGATTTAGAGCAAACCTCACCTGCCAACCAGT